GACCACAGATCTCATAATTCTGACTTCAACAGTGGGATTCTTCTGATGTCAGCTTGTGCAATCTACATGCATCTGCTCTTAGTTATGGTGGTTCGAAGCCTCTTTACGCAGACCAAGGGCTCCTGACATGTTGATCCATGTTGCTACATTGTTTTTGTGTAGTAGAGAGTCACTCAGATGTTAGCAGAGAAGGAGATAGACAGCACTTCAGGAAGAGCAGACGAGTGAAGGAACATTCATACTGACAGTGATTTGCAGCAGAGAAGCATCTAGAAGTCATTCATCTTGGCATGATGCGATAGTTGAGGATGTTAACTTGAACAAATAAGTAACTTGGAGCAGCAAATACTAGTAAGGGTGAAGTTAGTGGAGCTCAAATTATATATACATACAGTATGCATATATGTATAAATGAGATGATGAGAGGAGAATTGCATTTTTGCTCTCATCATCTCATATATATAATCATCTCATATTGTCAGCAATAAGACAGAGTTTGCACTGTAATCATTCCTTTGATTGATCAGAATATGTCTGGGACATGTTTCACCCCAAAATCAAATGTAATCAATGAAAATGTATCTTTTTTTTTTTTTTGTATATATATATATATATACAGGTGCATCTCAATAAATTAGAATGTCGTGGAAAAGTTCATTTATTTCAGTAATTCAACTCAAATTGTGAAACTCGTGTATTAAATAAATTCAATGCACACAGACTGAAGTAGTTTAAGTCTTTGGTTCTTTTAATTGTGATGATTTTGGCTCACATTTAACAAAAACCCACCAATTCACTATCTCAACAAATTAGAATATGGTGACATGCCAATCAGCTAATCAACTCAAAACACCTGCAAAGGTTTCCTGAGCCTTCAAAATGGTCTCTCAGTTTGATTCACTAGGCTACACAATCATGGGGAAGACTGCTGATCTGACAGTTGTCCAGAAGACAATCATTGACACCAGTGTTCGAACTATACCGTGGACTTCGGGGGAGCCCACTTTTCTTTTTTTTTATAACGGGGGGGTTTTGATTTGTGCGCTTGCGCGTGCCTCAAAAGAATGACTTACAAAGATACATAACAGCTACAAGTGTATGCACTACTTGCTTTATGCAAGCACTATATAGGATAAATCACTATACAGGATTTACCCTATTATACTTTATCGACACGAATTGATAGGTGAAACAACAAACAGCCACCCACAAATAGTCTATAAACAAAGCATCAGGCTGTCTTTGAGTTTACACGAACAACGGGTAAAGTTACTCGTCGTCAGGCTACAGAAGAATACCATAATTACTCCATTCAATTAGGGCTAAGACATCGAGAGTCACGCAGACCTATAACACCCCAGCCACAACACATAATTGCGAATTACATGCCTTACCTTAACACAGAATCGACCACAGAGTCCAACGTTAATATTTTTTCTACAAATCTTTGAGTTAACATGTACTAAACATGAGTGGAATTTGCACCGCTGCGTCCCCACACATTGAAGGTCATGACAAGAATAACATGTATAGTTATATTTATTATTCCGTACCACCTCAGCAGTGCCACAAACTGATCACCTCCATGCCACGCCGAATTGAGGCAGTAATTAAAGCAAAAGGAGCTCCTACCAAGTATTGAGTACATGTACAGTAAATGAACATACTTGCCAACAATTCACTAAAAATGTTTTTTATTGATCTTATGAAGTATTCTAATTTGTTGAGATAGTGAATTGGTGGGTTTTTGTTAAATGTGAGCCAAAATCATCACAATTAAAAGAACCAAAGACTTAAACTACTTCAGTCTGTGTGCATTGAATTTATTTAATACACGAGTTTCACAATTTGAGTTGAATTACTGAAATAAATGAACTTTTCCACGACATTCTAATTTATTGAGATGCACCTGTATATATATTATTACAATTTAAATCTACTGTTTTCTATTCTATTTCAGAATGTAAATTCCAGCCCAAGAAATATGTCTCATTCTTATTTTTATAATTGTTGAAAACAGTTCTGCGGATTGAATATAAAGTTTAAAAGTGCAGAATTATTTACAATATGTTTTATTTATTTTATTTGTGTGTGTGAGAGAGAGAGAGAGAGAGAGAGACAATATTTTAATACACGAGTTTCACAATTTGAGTTGAATTACTGAAATAAATGAACTTTTCCACGACATTCTAATTTATTGAGATGCACCTGTATATATATTATTACAATTTAAATCTACTGTTTTCTATTCTATTTCAGAATGTAAATTCCAGCCCAAGAAATATGTCTCATTCTTATTTTTATAATTGTTGAAAACAGTTCTGCGGATTGAATATAAAGTTTAAAAGTGCAGAATTATTTACAATATGTTTTATTTATTTTATTTGTGTGTGTGAGAGAGAGAGAGAGAGAGACAATATGAAGGTTTTATTGTCACTTTTGATAAATTCAGTGCATCTTTGTTAAAGTTTTTTTTCCCCAAAAAATATTTATTGACTTCAGCCTTTTGAATGTGTATATATACTTATATTGCAGTATTTAATTATTAAATTAATTATTAAATGACAGTAAATAGTGGAAATATTAAAAGGATCGCCTAATAATTGGGGAGTAATTGAAAAAAAAATGTCCTGACACATTCCGTAATGAAAATTTTGTGGTGAAATTAATGTGTTTAATTGTCTTGAAAATGTTATCAAAACGTAAAAAAAAGCTTAATGACCCTAAAATAGTCTTCATTGTCATTATGCAAAATATAATTTTGTGTGTTTTTTCTGTTAATTCTATGGGTCAAATGTAATCTGGATATGTCGTGAGATTCACCCAGAGGTGTGGAGAGATGTGAGGACAGGATGTGGAATGACACGGCTGGAAACAGTGTTAGATACACGCACACAGTGACTGATTGCTCCCATGAGGCCGTCAGGCATGTCGTTTGGCATTTGTAGTTTGTACCTCCATCATCAGAGGAAGGAGAAGCAATACGATCACAGAGTCACGGAGGACATTCAAACACTACTGCTATTAACTAAACTAATACAAACACAGCGCGCTTAAACAACCAGCCATACACAAACATGCCAAACTGAGTGAAAAATTGATATCCAAACATGAAAAGCTCAAATCCATCCAAGCAAAACAGCCTGGGATACCTGTTTAAAAATGAACGCACCACAAATAAACAGATGGAGAGTATTTCCATCACGGAGCACAATAGAAGAGCTCTTTCTGTTCCAAGAGAAGAGGAGAGCATCTTGAGTGTAGTGCTGTTTAATAAACAACTCGTGCTTCCAACCTGCTCTCATCCCTCTCTTCCATCTGAAATGCGTGGCATGGGAAGATGAGTTATGTTCATCATGACATCAGTATTGTAAGCTTCTGATTACAATGAGTAGATGAGCGCCATCTCTCAACAGAAAGTAGTTGCTCATTTAAAACTTCATATGTTGTGTAGTTCTGAGAATTTTCACAGATGTAGGACTTTAATGTGCTGCTTGCTGGTATGAATCCATAAAACTAATTGCAAGAATAACAGCTGAAAGGATCATATAAATACATTATAGATTATAAGTACTTCAGACTTAGCATGATAACCAATTTCTGCTGCATTTCCTTAGTATTTATTTAGTTGGTTTAAAGTTTTAACGTTAGTTTCTTTCTTTTTCTTTCTTTCTTTCTTTTTCTTTCTTTCTTTCTTTCTTTCTTTCTTTCTTTCTTTCTTTCTTTCTTTCTTTCTTTCTATCTATGTTCCATAAAAAGCACAGAAATAGGTGTGTGTGTGTGTGTGTGTGTGTGTGCATGTTAATGTGGTTTATGAGGACACACATTTGTATAATAACATGGGTATGACATAGGTATTACAACGAGAAGGTGATTTATGAGGACATTTTCAGTGTCCCCGTAATTCAAAAGGCTTATAAATAATTCAGAATGAGTTTTTTTGAAAATCTAAAAATGCAGAAAGTTTCCTGTGAGGGGTAGGTTTAGGGGTAGGGTTGGTTTAGGGCAATAGAATATACGGTCTGTACAGTATAAAAACCATTACGCCTATGGAGAGTCCCCATAAACACAAACCTGCGTGTGTGCGTGTGTGTGATCTATCTATCTATCTATCTATCTATCTATCTATCTATCTATCTATCTATCTATCTATCTATCTATCTATCTATCTATCTATTTGATGCATATTTCTTTGGCTATATCAATAATGAATTACAAAACTGTCAGTTATTTATTTTTATTGCTTATTCATTTATTCAGTAGCCTAGATTATGTCCTACAAAAACGCAGTCGTTTGGCTAATATCAATAATCAATTGTATCTGTACACTAAACTGTGGAAACTGTATTATCTATAATATTTTGTCATAAACTAAGATTGGCATGGTAGATTTTTATACAGTAAAATGACAGCATGTTTGTGAATGATAACGTGAAAGTGATTAAAAATGTCTTGCCCGAGTTCATGACTAAAAGGGTTGTCGATAACCAAATGTAAAATAAGCCATTGCGTCTTACGAACTAAAACAACGTGAGTGGCCCAGAGTTGATCGATTCACAACTTTCCTCGCGAACACCCTCAGGGAGGTCAGTCAGCATCACACAGCTGTGTTGACATCTCCTCAACACTTTCCATCCGCTCCAATAAATTACACAGGCAACAAATATAAACAATTTGCATTGATTTTACTTCCCGGATCGGTTCAACAGCCTCGGTGTCTATCAGGAAACGCGATAATATTATGTGGCGGAATGGACAGTGGCGAGGGGACTTTAAATGGGCTGAGGGAAAGGGGAGGGAGCGCGTGAGGTAGAGTCCCTCAGCTCGCGCTCATCCTCAGTCAGTCCACTGCGCGCTCGCTCACTGTCCGCGAGAGTCAGCTGCAGCCACTTAGAGACTATCTCTGACAAATAGCCTTATTCAAAGGAGGAAAACGCCAAGACTTCTGACATCTCTTGTGTATTTTGAGAGGGGGGTCACATACAACTATCCAAAGCGACATGTGGATTTACAAAATTCTGCTCTGTGTGGCCGTTTTGGTTTACTCAGGTAAGTTTTTTCCTTCAGTCAGAGAAAGCGTCTTACTGGGTCTCATGTATCATAGTTTACAGTAATAACTGTATTATGTTTTACAGCAATAGCAATAACTGTAATTCATGGTTTTAGGGAGGAAACTGAGGTTACCATGGTTCATTTTTTGTAACCGTGTTCTGGAGATGCCCAACACTGTCTCTGCTCGAGCTTACGCGATACTGTTTATGGGTCATTCCTGTTGGTGCCTTTTGAGATTTGAAAAATTAACAAAGTATCTTTGTTTCATGAAAGTAACACATTCAAGTTTTTGAAAGTCGTCATGCAGATTATGTTCACTGACTTGTATCTACTAAGTAATACACCATTTCAAACAAATGAATGCTGAGTCTGCTGGCACAAATGTCCACCCTGCAATGGACAAATAAATAACAGCATAATAGACTTCTAATGTAAACTTTGTTTTACAAGCTATTGTTTGATAAAACTTTAATAATATATCATTAAAATGTGTTTATTTCCTCAAAATCACTGTTTGCTTACAAGATAAAGATTATTTACAATATGCATATATCTAATAACTGTGGATAACATTATGTAAATATGTAAATTGTTACTGCATTATCATTGAGTATATGTATAGGATATTTAAAGTCTGCATGAAATCAAAATAAACTCTGTTTACATTGTTAGCACACATTACTAGCCTTGTGGTGAACAATTATATGTGCAATTAAATCTACAAAAATAAAAATTCTTTGTAATCTTTAGTCAAAATCTGAAATTTGCTTGACATGGCATTCCTTTTCTCATGATGTCAGTTTGACGGCTTGGACTGAACATCCTTAACAACTTCCCTCCTCCAATCTTTAGTCTGTTGTGAGCTATATATATTGAGGAGGTGTGCTAAAATCAGGCCCGCCTTCTTTTTTATTATTCAATATTCTTATTTTACTGTGAAGTACAACACAATATAAAAAAAATAAATCAGTTGCAACTTCCAGTTCACACAGACTTTAAAGTTTCTCTATGTTTCTTCTTTTGTATAGTTTTTTTCCCACCAATAAAAGTACAACAGTTCCAAAAGAAGCCAAGTCACATCTCTGCAAACACAGACAAGCAAAGTGAAACGAACAGAAAACATGTTGTTGGACTATATATCAGCAATATTGGAACATCCCTCAGCCAATCAAATTTGAAGACCAGTGCTAACTATACATAATTTTTTCATCCTTATTAATCTCATAAATTTCAATTGTTTCATTTTTCAGCTATTGAAATACATTGGACATGCCATCAAATTGTAGTTCTTGACTCAAATTACACATGTATCAAAAGCGTCACAGTTCCCAAACATTGTATGAAGTTTCACTACGGAAAACTTCACAGATGTTGACATTCATGGTGAGTGGGCTGTTTCTTTGCAAAACATCTGGATAAATGCGTCACCGACAGTGTGGATGGAGCCGAAGGGAGAGATGAAGTGTTGGAGTGTGGCACTATGAAACCCTTCTTTTGAAATCAAAACCGCTTTATTGCACAGAGCCTATTAATTATTCTGCGTTTAGTCATTTAGTTTCTAATCTGCAGTACTTCTGTGACATTGAAGTATCATGTAGCTCGTTGGTTGCGCAAAGTTTAGAACAGCTTAGTTTGTATTGATTTTATAGTAATACATTCTGTATAATGGGGCGTAACAACCTTTGTTCAGATATTTGGGCCAAGGAGATGTTTAGAAAACCTTTCTAACCTATCCAACCCTCGGTGCTTGTTGTTCTGTTCAGACTTACGTTCTAATAATATTCAGAGTTAGTCAAGAGCTGGAGTCTTTTCAAAGAGCATGACTGTTGGCTTTGGGTCAGTTTTAGAGCTTAGACGGGGTGTAATGTTCCTTGGTTGGTCTACTATCAGAATTTAGGGCTTGTTTCACACACAAAAAACATGCCTGATCTCATAATGTGGTTTGTGGCTGTGAAATTGGTGCTTTCTAACCATGTGCTTGACAGATAACTCAATTCTTATGACTGCAGCTGGCATGGATGGGCTCTGGTGGGGATTTGAGAAGGTTTGGTGCTGCACACAAGGATCAGAGCCAGATTTCTTTGGCCTTCGGAATTCTCTCCACCACCTCATCAAAGCAGACCGTGATTGATGCCTTTGCATCCTGCTATATACATAAAGCTAATTTATTGCTCCACTGCTTTTAATAGCAAATTATTTTTTCCCCCTTACTGTTACATAGAGCTTAGACGGGGTGTAATGTTCCTTGGTTGGTCTACTATCAGAATTTAGGGCTTGTTTCACACACACAAAACATGCCTGATCTCATAATGTGGTTTGTGGCTGTGAAATTGGTGCTTTCTAACCATGTGCTTGACAGATAACTCAATTCTTATGACTGCAGCTTGCATGGATGGGCTCTGGTGGGGATTTGAGAAGGTTTGGTGCTGCACACAAGGATCAGAGCCAGATTTCTTTGGCCTTCGGAATTCTCTCCACCACCTCACCAAAGCAGACCATGATTGATGCCTTTGCATCCTGCTATATACATAAAGCTAATTTATTGCTCCACTGCTTTTAATAGCAAATTATTTTTTCCCCCTTACTGTTACGACTCAATAAGGTTATGATCCAATAAGTATTCTACCCACCCCATAACTGACTAGTCGATGTGTGACCTTACTAGTAGTAAGTTGTTGCACAACTAGGGTCTTTGTGAGTGTAATAGCTGTGTTTCATTTGAAGGCAGAATTTTCTGGAAAAACTGACTAAAAGTTTAGTCTGACCAGGACAGAGGGTTTCCTTAAAGGGATAGATTACCCAAAAATGAAGACTGCACCATCATTTACTCACCCTCACGTCTTTCCAAATATCTATGACGTTCTTTCTTCTATGGTACTCAAAAGAGGATATTTGGAAAATATGTGTATATATATATATATATATATATATATATATATATATATATACACTGTATATATAAAAATCTATTTAGTGGGTTTTTTAGTTTCTGAATCTGACTTTTGCACATATATATTATGTAACCTAAGGTGTGTCTGAATGTGTGTTGTCCTTTAGACTTCATGAGAGAATGCATCATTGGCAATGGACTCAACTACAAAGGAAAGAGATCGGTGACCAAGAGTGGAGCCCAGTGCCAACTCTGGAATTCCAAAACGCCGCATGAACACAAGTAAGTGCTTACTCATCCTCTTTAACTCCCATTCTTGGTTTGGTCTCTCTCTCTCTCTCTATGGGCAATTAAACTCAATTACCCACTATGTGCATTTTTGTGGCTATCAAAAGTCTTGTGGAGTGTAGATAGCTGTTAACATCTCCTTGGTATGTTTCAGTTTATTTATTTATGCACATATTACGCTATTAGATAGCTAATGGCAAAACAGACTCTGTGAGTCGTAAAAATCCCCATTAGTCTCTAATGATGATGAATGTGCAGCTTTATGCATGTTGTCTCATTGGCTTTGATTCGTTAGAGGGTTCTTGCTGAGTCTAAGTGTGACAGTCAGTGCAACTCAATGATTCTCAGAAGTGGAGCGCCGACGGAGACAATTAGGTCAATGACAGGAACGCCAATGAGCGGCCGGCACATTTCCAAACAATTGCTTCCGTTCTTGCATGACCAAAAATAGATGTTTGTTTACAATTATGCCTATGCATAAATACTCCAGGGCACGTTTACCCCAAAATATACATTTTTGTATACACTTACATCTAAAAATAAACACCAAGAAGCCATATGAAGCCTGGAACAGATGTCATGTTTAGAGGATTTGAGGGTTTGTGCGTAAGTGGGAGTTTGACAGAAAGCAGCACAAAGCTAAGATAAGATACCTAATGCAGAACACATCTTTGAGTTCATTACGGCTACAGGAATTCATTAGGGACACCACATGGTGCTTCGATTTACTTCCTGTACTGCAAGTCGATACGATAGATCTGCCCTATTTTTTGGCCTTTACAGAAGTTTTATGCACTTTTCTTAAATCCTGAAAATGTAATTACCTTTCAGAGACATTGAACCCTTACCACCAACTTTCCCGCTCTAGGTATTTCCCTCTCTCTCTCTCCCCTCTTTTTTCTTCAACTCTTTTTTATCTCTCTAATAGACATCAGTTCAGTTGTAAAGCCAGCTTTTGATATGCTTGCCTCTGAAACATCACAGGCATGCTTTATCGGCTCAAAAAAAACAATGGACCTGAACGTTCTGAAATACCACACAGGCCTGTAGGTCAGCTAATTTGTCACAGATTGCATTTTTATCTGTATTCATCAATCATCATGAACTTGGTTGATTTGTATTGTGAATGCCAGAGGCAATTACACAAACGATAATTACCTTTTGGCTTAATGCAATGATTTATTAATGGTTTACAAATATTTGCATGGCAAGGGTAAAATACTTTTTGAAACATCTCAGAGTTTTACCATAAAGAAATAGTACATAAAAAAATAGGTTTTAAATAAATATTCCAGTCATAATTGTGACCTGTATTGGACTATATGGAATGGGTCATCCCATCATGGTGGTCACCATGTCATATATACTAACTCCTAACTTTATTGCAATAACCCACTAATTTGAGAAGATTTTGGTTTCAGAATAAATGGATTATTAGATGAAAGATAAATGTGTAGTTCTGTAATGGCATTGGTAGCCAAAAACATTTGTTTTTGTGTGATGCTGCTTTCATAACGTTCAAATAGCCAAAGTAAAACGCTAATAAAACAACAATGCTCATAATGAGCGTATTCTAACTCAAGCACTGTGCAGTTTTTGACCTTGTCTGACCAAAGGCTTTACACTACCCCATCCGCTTGCCAAAATCATCATTTAACTACATTCATTTGTTGTTTTAAGATTCAACCTTTGTACTTTTTCCATAAGTAATAAGAAAAAAATGAAGATGCAACAATTTCCCCAGAGCTACATGCACGCTAAGCTCTTGCATCACAATGAAATGCAGAGTAGCAGCTGTGTTCTGATGTTAAAGATATTGTTAGTCATGCCACTCTTATTAATATATATAAGTTATTGAGATCTCCTGTTACACTTGGCTGGAAGTTACAACTGTGTCATATGACATCCAGTTAAATTTGTGATTCTTAGTTCAGTTATAGTATCAGATGTTATTGTAATAAAAAGACAAAAAAGCGAATAATTGCAAAGGATTGCTAACATCAATAAAAGAGAATTAAACCTCACTCTGCAGCTAAAAATGTCAAGTAATGTGTCAAAGAGTAACAGTATGTTGTTCAAGAAATTTGGAGCAATTTTGCTTGTGTATGATTCACAAACATCACTTCTGTTTCATGTTTTCTTCTCACTCCATTAGTTTCTTACCCCTGAGGCACAAGCACAGAGATCTACGGGAGAATTTATGTCGTAATCCAGACAACACCACAACAGGTCCTTGGTGCTTTACCACAGACCCCAAAATACGGCACCAGGACTGCAGCATCCCACAATGCTCGGAAGGTGAGTCCAAGACCAGCAACCTTTTGTATTTTATTGTTCACAGTATGCTCTTTTATAGCTTTTAATTGTTTTTTTTAGATATTTGTACTAAAATGATTTAGTACAACTGACTGTTGACATAATGTAAGAATATAGAGCTATGAAATGAATGTCAGTATTATTAAGATCATTTGGTCTTTAAGATATGAATTGCTGAAATTTGAAAATCGTTGAAAATTTCAAATTTAAATCTCAGACATTTAATGGTAAACAGTTTCTTGGCAAAACTGAGCATGTTTTTTCATTTGTTCTCAGTTGACTGTTTTGGAGAAACAATTTTGATGTTAAAACGATCTCACTTGTGATATCTCTTTTTTAAGCTGTTTAATATGAGCACTTGGTTTGCATTGATTTTCAGTCCTTTAAAAACACCTTTTTAATGTGAATTGTTCATTTATTAGATTCAAGACTTTATCTATTGATGGAGAATGAAAGTGCTTGATTGTTGGGGTGACTGGAGATTTTTGTTAATAGGAGATCACATTGAGTCGCATGCATAAAAAGGGGTTTTCTGCAGAGATAGCGATCAGGCCAACAAAGAGATCCTCTTGTCTATTCGAAGAGTTGCATGATGAAATATGGCTGGGAGGGTTTGTTAATAAATTAGTGTCCCATAATCAAAAACACACACAAACACAAGGAAGGAAAATCATGCTTTCATGAGAGTGGCTGACATTAACATCTGCTTCTACTACAGCAATCTGCTCCTTATACTGTGTGTACTGTACAACTAATAACACGATTTAGAGAGATGACTCTAGCTGAGTGACTATGACTCTCTGACCCCGATCTGCTGTGATATTTGGTTTGATCCTACAGTGACTAAGCTCTTTACTAAGTACTGTAATAATTACATGTTGCTTTAACCTTTGATCGTACAAAATCTTTTAGAAGCTGCAACTTACATTTGGGGTTAAAAGCAAGGCCTAATGGGTGGTACGTCTGCTTAGTAAATTGAAGCATCAGATGATTTATTTTTAGACAATCTGAGGGTCACATGTGGCTCCGTAATTGCTTGTCTTCTTGATAAATGCGATTACAATCCCTGCAGTCATTAATCGTTAGTGATTAGTCTATGCGTAACAAACATGTACACTAATTTACTACCAGGATTCGGCCACAGTTGCAGTCGTCTAACCGTTTAACATGACAGCCAAGGTTGAACCCTGTTGAACTTGAGTCATCCTCTACAAGCATGCTAATGTCGCTCAGCTGGACTCTTTTGGGCCTTGTCCTGGTTAAAATTCTTACCAGCCATGTTCGTTATCCATAGTGGAATGTATGACGTGTAATGGAGAAAGTTACCGTGGACCATTGGACCACACGGAGAGCGGCCGGGAATGCCAGCGCTGGGACCTTGATGAACCACATAAACACCTATTCCACCTTAAAAGGTATGAGACCTACCAGAAAATGCAAACAGTAAGGGACAACTTCAGTCAGACTGACTTCAAGTTAGGATTTTCAATCAATTTGAGAGGCTTGGCTAATATGGCATACTTAGAAAAATGCAAATCTTTTTCGTTCGCCTGTTGGGTACTACTGATGATGTCTAAAATCATGCGGTTTGTTGCAAAAAGGTGTGCAGTTACTTTTCTAAGTGATGAAAGTTATGGTTTTGCACCTGGAAGACACAAAATCCATAGACTTACATTAAAAGGATAGTTTACCTAAAAATGAAAATCATGTCATCATTTACTCGCCCTCAAGTTGTTCCAAACCTGTATGAGTTTCTATCTTCTGTGGAACACAAAAGAAGATATTTTGAAGAATGTTGGTCACCAAACACTTTCTGGTCCCCATTAACTGTCATAGCATTTTTTTTCTCCATATTTTGAAAGTCAATGGAGACCAACAACTGTTTGTTTGCCCACATTCTTCAAAATATATTTTTTTGTATCTTTTAGGTTTGGAACAACATGAGGTTGAGTAAACAAAATAATTTTCATTTTTGGTGAACTATCCCTTTAAAGAGGAACCTGAGACTAATCTAAAATATTATAGGAACTTTGGGGGTGGCCTGATTTGAGTTGAGACCCAAAAACCTTCTAGAACTCCCTAGCAACTACATAGCAACAAACTAACAACCAATCAGAACATGTTAACAAGCCCATAGTAATGCTGGAAACCCTGAAATCCACTCAAAACACTTGCGTGAGTTTTGCATGGCAAACTTCACTCACATTTTCTTCAGATGTTAAGGTGATTAAGTTTCAAAGAAAGTATCAGATATCATTTGAAAAACTAGTCAGTGCTTTGATAATGCTTTGCTAAAGAAAGCTGGGGTCATGAGTGGATCATTGGCCTCATGTCATTTAACATTAATTGTGGAAAACAACTTAATCTGTCTGAAATCACAATGTGTGCAGGCATCTTAAAGTGATGGCCAACAGCAGTCATGAAAAATTACACTTTGTTTTGGAAAACATCATCTGTTTTGTTCATGTTGGACAAAAATATGTTTTAAAGTTCCTTGCACATCTTTACTTAATTACACACCTACTCTGTGGAGAATCGCAACTGAAAGAGTTGACCACATTGCTACCTGATGTACATGCACTTTCCATTCAATGGCATTTTCGTTTGGCATAACCTTTCCAGTGGCCCATTTACATCTTTAGTTCTGGGAAACAAAAATATCGTTAATCTTGAAATAAATGTCCGTTTGTTTTGAATACTCTCCCTTAAGAGTCTCTAAACACACAAAGTCTATTTTTTTAATATGTCAGATTGCATACATGGTAAATGCTTTTGAATTTAGCCTAATCCGGAATGGCATTTGTGAGCAACTTTTAAAAATATTAGAAAAATCAATACCGTTTTTTCCCACTTGACCTCATGGGAACTGTGTCATGCCCCAGTTTGATATAAATCACTAAATCAAATGACTGCTTTGTGTGAACCTACCAAAGAGGCAAATTGTCTATGATGTCTTCAAGCAACCATAAAAACCCTTTGAATATTACAAGACAGAAGCTCTTCACCCTTTACATGACGAGTGATTATAGACAAAGTTAGTGTAAATACAACATTAAAACCAATTCAATAAATCAAATAGTTATTTAAGATTGACTTTAATTTATCTAAAAATGTATTTAATAGGAAATGAGCATGCAGAATTAAATACTGGGCATCAGCCAATATACACTATTGTTTAAATATTTAATTAATATTGTAAAATATTTTTACAATTAAAAATAATTGTTTTCTGTTTGCTTTTAACATACATCATCATGTGATGCTTCTTGACACATCATCAGTGTACTATACTACTATTCAAAATGTACTAATATGAAGAGCAGAAGCTGGTTTGCGCCCGGCCGGATGTGCCTTTATGCTTTCTGGTGCTTACGTCACCCTGCTCGTGACATCTCGATGCTCCATTGGACGGATTTGACACGTGCTTCAGAACGCGGTCACGCAAGGGCGTTCCCAAAGCGTCTCGACGCAGCTCGAGTTCCTGAAGGGGAACTAAAAATTGAAAGAAAAAAAAAGTGACCTGTATAACTATGAGTCTTCACATGTATGCAGAGTGATGAGCTTCTGTCTTGTGCGCTTTACCTAAGAGGTCCTGTTGTACCAGTAGCAGAGAGCATGTTGTGTATTTTCTGGAGGTTATTAGAATTTTATCCCACCTATAAATCAAAGTTTCCGTAGAACAATGATAGTTGATATGTGGCGTGTTAAGTGTGTTCGTTTTGCCCTTCCTATGACAGATACCCTGATAAAGGTCTAAAGGACAACTACTGCAGGAACCCAGACGGGCGCCAGAGACCCTGGTGTTTCACCACCGATCCGAGCACTCCATGGGAGTACTGTAACATCAAACAGTGCGGTGAGTGTGCGCGTCTGCATCTAATGTGTAAGATGAAGAGACAGAGAGAAGAACAAAAAGAAGCCAGAGAGAAAGAGAATGAAAAGAGGCAGAGTTTGCCAAATTTACAACTTCCTCTTCCTGTAGCCCTGGCTCCCCTTTCGTTTGGGACCCTCACAGGAATGTTGTTTGTAACCGGGAAAGAGAGAGAGGAGGGTCCACCTATAAAACTCTCTCTCCTCTCTTTCTCTTTCCTCAGTTCTTGCCCCGTCTTTTCAGTACTGTGCCTCCGTGTTTATTTTCCCTCATCAGTGCAGTAGAGCGTTGCCTTATCTGCATGAGAGAAATGTGCTTGAGTTTCAAGTGCTATGTAAACCTTCCACGCTAAAGACAAAACACGCATGTGGGTTTCAAACCCCCAGTTCACTCACACACAAGCGCCCAAAAACCTATTATTATAATGACACCCTCACCCCTCCTCCTTGCGCTGCCTCCGTTTATTTTCATTAGCGAGGTGACGGCATGTTGGTTCAAGTGGGAAGCGAAGCATAAACTCAGGCGTCCGACGATCGCGCTCTTCACCATTCTAGACCAAGCCACGGGGGTTGCATTTGTATTTCAGAGCTATTTGGCAAGTCTGTGTCGTAACCTTGAGCAAACTCCTGTGACGGATTGTCAAAGATCACCGTCTTGGGAGGAACTTTTCACCACGCTCTTTCCTGTTTGGCAGAACGCCGCTTCTTTTCAAACACCTCAGCATCTCAATAAGCATGTCACTCGTTTTTCACCTGTGGAAACCATCATAGGTGCATCTGGTTTTACAAGAAGTGGCTTTCATCCTCTTGCAGAAGGAACATTATACATAACAAGACTATTTGATACTCTATAAATCTAAACATGCTCTTAAAAGAGACAATACTGCTCTAACTTAACAATGTACGAACATAATCCCAGGTTCTCTCAAAGGTATGAATAGACATTGTTCCAGTAATGTTAATAGAATGGTTGTTCAAATCTTATCTGGTCTTTAATAACGTTAAAACATTAGCACAAATTATTATACATCATTTATACATAATTCATGAAAAAAAATTTTTTCCTGAAATGTTTTATTTGGATGTTCGTCTAGCATTTTTTAAATGTTACTCTATTGTTACTACTTTACTAGTTTCAAAACATGTTCAAAATGTTCAGAAATGTTCAACATTCAAAAAGTCATGTTCCCCGTTTCTTTATTGTCTTTGCAGACCTTCGCATAAACATGAAAAAAAAAACGGTTTTAAAACATTTAAAAAAATAGACATTCTGAGAACTTTCAGAAACAACGTTAATTTAAACGTTAAAATTTTTGTTAGCTGGGATAACATTGCATACGCTGGGATCCACTGTAGATCTCTTCAAATTCTCAGTGTATTGGATGCATTTGAGAGTTTGATTTTGGGTTTTATTAGCATGACTTGGCCTATATCCCCATACCGCTAGCCTCATTAGCAGACTGAAGCACTAGCAGTTTATTGGAGGTAAACATAATAACTGTCTCCAATGAGCGTAATTTATTGCAATGAGATTCATGGGCAAAAACAATATATATCTGTTGTGCACTCATAAAACGCTTACGTTTTGCCCTAAAAAAGCTCTGTAGGCTACTGTTTTAGCATTTGTCACAGACTTAGTGACTGCTTTGACTCATTCAGGAAGCATCTCTCTCTGTTAAGCAGGATAAAGCTGTTGTTATTCCTCCCTCAGGCAGCACAGTCTTACAGTTAACAGTGAATCTATGATTCAGCGCTCATCATGCCTAAGGAGTGATATTATGCTTCATTCTCTCACTCTCTTTGTCTTTCTGTTAATGTTTTTCACTGTTTACTCAGATTCAGACAACGGCGGTGGCATTGACAACACAACAACTTGTTTCCGTGGACGTGGAGAGGGTTATCGTGGAACGGTTGGCATCACCCCCGAGGGAGTGACCTGTCAGAGATGGGATGCCCAGTTTCCCCATCGACACTCTTATACTCCACAGAATTACCTTTGCAAGTAAGAAAATGCTCCTAAAACATATGCATTAAGCATTGATGTATAGTTCAAATATTGACTGGACTTTCTTGCGTCATGCACATGTTAAGCCTTTTTACTGATTTGCATAATATCATAGGAAGTTTTACATGGGCAAGCACAGTCAAAAAATAAACTAAAATGAACATGCAAAATAAAATATTCAATACTGACTTATAAATATTCATTATCAACCTAAATACAAAAATTACAGAAATTATTTTTATATATGTAATTAACCAGTTCTGACGCCCAGTTCCCCATCGACACTCTTATATTGCAAAGAATTACCGTTGCAAGTAAGAAAATACTCCTAAAACATATGCATTAAAGGAATATTCGTCGCTAGAGGGCGCGTATTCAAAATAAACAAATAGACAAATGCGTAGTTTGATGATGCCGTGACTGAGTGTGGAATCATGGGAGTTGTCGTCTTCATCCCCACAGCCGATGCAATCCGACGGGACTCGGGCAGAAATCATGTTCATGGATGAGATAATGATTTATTAACGTAGTAGAATGAAGCAGGTTGAGGCTGCAAGCTGTCGAAGCGAACCGAGGCCGCTGAATGAGCGTGACACACGGCTCGAAAGCAGCGGAGCTTTTATTATGCCACAGTCGACCACTTCCGCTCCTTCCGGTCGTACATATGTGGGGGAAAAAAAGCAGTGCTGTTTTATCATACTAGATACATTTGAAGGTTCTGTTATAATGCTACTCTGTGTGGTCGTCACCGGTCTATTAAAACGCACAACATATTAAAGCGTCTTTGGTGTTTCCATGTTTTCTACATGGAAATCGAGGGGTTATGACGTCATTGGCAGGCGACACAATGACACTATGGACACGGTCCGTGTCACTAGTTAAAATTGCTTATTTCTCTGGATTTAAACATTCTTCGAAACATTTGGGGTAATGTAAGTACACAAGTCAGCAAAATATATAACACTGTTTTAGTGTTTTTTGGATATTTTAATAAAAAAATCGTACATATTGTGCCTTTAAGTGTTGATGTTTATTGATGTCGACTGAACTTCCTTGCTTTATGCACATGCACAGCCAAACTTTGATGGTCTTTTTATTGATAAAAATGGGTGAAAAAATTCCATGAACATACCTTTAATTGAGGAACACGACTAAAAGTTTTGCTTGGACAAACACAGCCAACAAATGAAATAAAATAAAAATAAAATAACATTTTAAGATGAACATGCAAAATAAAATTTCCAGTATCAACTGATAAATATCCAGTGTCAAATTAAATACAACAAAAATGAGAAATTGTTTTTATACTGTATATGTAACCAGTTCTGATATATTGCGCAAAAATACATATGTTCACCAGGTATGCTGGTTCCATTCTGTCATCACTAGGAAAATCTAACCTAAATGTTTCTTCTCCCAGACTGTTATCTGTCATCATACATGTTTATATAAAAAAAACTGCAGATAATTCTTCAAAACCTGTAGTTTTTAAGATCAGTCTCAGTCTGTTCAGCATATGCTCTGTCACACAAGATGTGTGATGTGTATATATGATTAAATGTACTCATCTGCACTGCAGGGATCTCCGGGAGAACTACTGTAGGAATCCTGATGGTCGACATCTCCCATGGTGCTTCACGACTGACCCCAATGTACCTGTGGCATTCTGCATCAACATCCCTCGCTGTGGCGTTACACTATCTGACCCTGAAGGTAAGAGTCATTCACATTATTCTTTCAAAAGTTTGGCATTGCTGGTAACTGTTGCATGTTACCAGCATTACATTTTCCATTCTCATTCACACAGATATGCATGAACACAGACCTTGAAAAAATGTTTTAACCATTTAGACCGCATTGCTCTTCATAAGAACTCAAATTTATTACAGCATATAGGCGCGTTTCCATTACCCTTCAAATTGCGCAAATTGAAATTGAAAATACGCCTAATGGAAACGCGTCAAATTCGCCAAAACGGCCATATATCGCAAAATAGTTTTTACGCTCGCATGAGGTGGTTTTTCAGGCAAATCGAAAAAGGATTAATTCGCAAAACTGCAATGGAAACGTTTTTTTTTTGCATTTACAGGTCACATGGCGTATGTAAAAATTCATATGATCATTCTTCAGCGTACTATAACCTCCAAGAAACACTTCATAAGTGGCTGCGCTCCAGTATAAGGGGCTTTCCCTACTATTAATACTTAGACAATTTACACTGCACACGTCTGCGGTGCAGTGTGGCTCTGATACGGCCACTGAAGCTGATTACGGCCACTCAATGCTTGTGTTTGTTTTTATACAGGCTATGGTTTATTCCAGCCGCGCCACGCACGTTTCTGAAGCAGCTCTGTTTGCTGCTTCTGTAAAGATACATGCATAAGCCTCCTTTGAATAAATATAGCCAAAATCCGTCAAAATCCCACCAAAATCCGTTGCCATGACTTATCGCGAGAGGCAAAAGGTTACGGTTTAGTCGCATAACATTGGTTAATGGAAACGCCGTCATTTCGCAATACTTTTTTATCGACATTCAGAAAATATCGCCAAAGTTTTGCGCAAATCTGTAATGGAAACGCGCCTTATGTTCTTAAATAACGGTAAAATTATATATATATATATACACCACTTTTTTCATGTCATCAGTGTCTGTTTGTTGCACACAGTCAGGCATTGGGAAATACACTATCTTACACAAGGCTACTGTGTTTTGAATTCAGTGAAGCTACCATGGAAAGGCATTGCCTTATTGGGTAGCCTATGTTCAAGAGTGTCACGTGTTCTCAACCATATTTGTCATGCACAAGATCACATTGTTGCACTTTTTTTCAGGCTTACAGACTAATCTAAGCTCAGGGACATTAATATACAGATACAATATCAGCATCCTTGATTTTTAGAAAATCCAGGGAGAAATTTACTGTTTTATTGAAATCCAAGGCATATTGATACTTTTGAATGCATTTGAACATTTCAGTGAAATTAAATGCCCTTGTCCGGAGACATTCAACCCTCATGAAGTTCTGTCACATGTCTGACCCTGGCTTTGCCTCCTCTCCATCTAGATGTGTATTTCTGTACTGCAAGCGAAAATTCCAGTACGCCAGGCGAGTTTACAGACAGCGATCATAAAACCCATTACACTTATTTGCTTTTCAGAAACATGTTTATAATCTACTGGCCTGAGCTTGTTTTCCATGATGTTATGGCTGGCGTTCTTCCAACTGTGTTTCTCTGGCTGGGTAAAAAAAGAAGACTATAACTTTTGAAGTAGTTCCTTCTTTGCATATCAAAACGATCCTCAAAAAACTTCCTTGACTTTGTTCTTATTAATCCTCCCCAGCAAGACATAATATCTAAATAATTGCTATTCATGATGCTCAAGAATGTCGTAGCTCTTTCTCCCTTCTTTTCACTCTCTTTCATTTGCTCTTTCTTGGCTGTCTTGGCATCGGTATACGGTGGTCCCTGTAGTCCGATCTCCACGGCCACTAATGGGGGCTGTTTGAAACATGTGCAGGGAGCAGGAGCCGCAGTGTGGGAATGAGACAGCATGAGTCAAGCATTAATCACTGCTGACAGCTTCGTGTGACTGGCAGGGCCCAGGAGATGCTTCAGAGAAGGACTCGCACAAGCGCTGATGTTAAGATCGATTTAGCTGGTGTTCCAATTGAGGCCGTTGGGATGATCGTTCGACTATTGTGGTGCACTGGGAGCCCTGCTGTGTTTCCATAAGCAGTGTGTTTCCACAAACCTGCTGTGTTTCTTTAAGCACTTCGACTTGCAGAGTTTGATAATAATTTTGAGGCATTTAGGTTAACAGCATTGATTAAAAGCAAAGTTCTCACTGGGATCATTAAAACATCTATATTTAATCATGCTGCATTGCATTCATCTTTCACTTTGTGCATATTGTGCATATATTTAGAAGTTGCCAAGCATATTATTGCTTAGTGAGTTCGGAAAACTTGAACTTTGGCACAATAATTTTTTATCAAAATTGCACCTAAAAAGCCTTATAGACTGTAGGTTTTATTTTTCTGTATGTAATTGATTTATCCTATTTGTTTATGAAATATTTTTTGTATTTACTTTTTTTCCTCTTTGTCATGAAAATAGCCTTCTGCAGTGGCATAAAAACAACTGATTGAATATACTTTGGTGTAAATTAAAATAGAATAATAAAGAATGTATTAAATGAAATTAGACATGATGCCTTGGCAGCTAACTGAAATAAATAAGTTAAAGTACTAAAATTACAAAAACTAAAATGTAAATTCATCAAAAAATCATTTAAAGCTAAATTTAAATAAAACATTTTTTTTTTTTAATGACAGAATGGCATAAAAAAAATTACTAAAACTAAAATTCAAAAGGAAACTGAAGATTTAATATTCAAAATATTAATAAATACTATAATAGTATATAAAAAATACTAAACAGACAACTGGTTGAGGAAAAATGTGATATTAATTTCTAAGCAACTTTATGTAGAGTTTTTGCCTGAAAAATAGTCAAATTAAATTTTAATGAGGGACCAGACCCATATCTACGTAAGTAAAAAAGTAACAAAATATCATAGTGAGTTTTGCATCGGCAAGCACACTCACAGAAAATTTTGTTGTTTACTATTATTGCACAACCCCTTTATAATATCTGCTTTAGTTTGAACATTTTTTTTGTCTGGCTATGTTGTTTCAGAGTGTTATACGGGCATTGGTGACACATACAATGGAAAACGGGCAAAAACACGCTCTGGCATCCCTTGTGCTCCATGGAAAGACCACAGTAAAAGGTAAGAGCTGGCCATCCATGTCTACACTGCAAAATAAATGTCTGTGTGTATTCATTTCAGAGTAAATATTAGATTTTTTAAATCACTTGAGCTTAAAACTGAATAAATAGCATGCACAGATTCAAAGACAAGAAACTGATTTTTTACAGTCCTTCAGTATGGACACACATTTAGTTTTGTCTATGAATTTTCCATAGTCTAGTATTAAGCAGAACCATCATTTATTTCGGTACAGCGCATAGATTCAGTCATGGACATTCACTCAGTTTCCATGGAAACCAAACTAGGTCCACATCTTGCTATTCAGGATCTCAAGGACAATCCCATGATGCCTTTGTGCCGCTTTGCAAGGTGAACAAACTCCATTTAGTCATTAGGTTCAAGGGTCAATCACAGCAAGTTGTCGTTAAATTGGTGAGAGTGAATAAATGGGACAGATGCTTTGTGAAATATCTCATGTTTTTTAAAATATATGTAAGCAGATGGAGCTATCAAATATGCATTCACAGTTACTTACAGCCATTCTGGAGTGTTAAATAGCAAGGGTTTATATTTGTTCCTGCCAGATGTGGTCTATTTCCTCTAATGCAGTTATGATTTTGCCTGTGTTTAATATGCATTGGCACATTATCAGTGAGCGTGCGTGTGTAAGTCTCAGAGGAGTCGAGCAATCGTTTCCGCAAAAGGTCTGTGTTGTTTCTGCCATCCACACTCACCCTGAGATGTGTGGCGTTAAATAACTTCCTTTTTTTTTAATGACAGAATGGCATAAAAAAAATTACTAAAACTAAAATTCAAAAGGAAACTGAAGATTTAATATTCAAAATATTAATAAATACTATAATAGTATATAAAAAATACTAAACAGACAACTGGTTGAGGAAAAATGTGATATTAATTTCTAAGCAACTTTATGTAGAGTTTTTGCCTGAAAAATAGTCAAATTAAATTTTAATGAGGGACCAGACCCATATCTACGTAAGTAAAAAAGTAACAAAATATCATAGTGAGTTTTGCATCGGCAAGCACACTCACAGAAAATTTTGTTGTTTACTATTATTGCACAACCCCTTTATAATATCTGCTTTAGTTTGAACATTTTTTTTGTCTGGCTATGTTGTTTCAGAGTGTTATACGGGCATTGGTGACACATACAATGGAAAACGGGCAAAAACACGCTCTGGCATCCCTTGTGCTCCATGGAAAGACCACAGTAAAAGGTAAGAGCTGGCCATCCATGTCTACACTGCAAAATAAATGTCTGTGTGTATTCATTTCAGAGTAAATATTAGATTTTTTAAATCACTTGAGCTTAAAACTGAATAAATAGCATGCACAGATTCAAAGACAAGAAACTGATTTTTTACAGTCCTTCAGTATGGACACACATTTAGTTTTGTCTATGAATTTTCCATAGTCTAGTATTAAGCAGAACCATCATTTATTTCGGTACAGCGCATAGATTCAGTCATGGACATTCACTCAGTTTCCATGGAAACCAAACTAGGTCCACATCTTGCTATTCAGGATCTCAAGGACAATCCCATGATGCCTTTGTGCCGCTTTGCAAGGTGAACAAACTCCATTTAGTCATTAGGTTCAAGGGTCAATCACAGCAAGTTGTCGTTAAATTGGTGAGAGTGAATAAATGGGACAGATGCTTTGTGAAATATCTCATGTTTTTTAAAATATATGTAAGCAGATGGAGCTATCAAATATGCATTCACAGTTACTTACAGCCATTCTGGAGTGTTAAATAGCAAGGGTTTATATTTGTTCCTGCCAGATGTGGTCTATTTCCTCTAATGCAGTTATGATTTTGCCTGTGTTTAATATGCATTGGCACATTATCAGTGAGCGTGCGTGTGTAAGTCTCAGAGGAGTCGAGCAATCGTTTCCGCAAAAGGTCTGTGTTGTTTCTGCCATCCACACTCACCCTGAGATGTGTGGCGTTAAATAACTTCCCTGTTTTATGAACAAGTTCCAGGTCAAAGGTCGACCTTTCCAGAACCCCGCCAGCTCACTGATGCAAAGCTCAGGGATTGTCAGGTTGCGTTTGTCTTCGTTGAGAAAATAAGACCCTCACGGATTTCTGAGGAAGAAAAACACGTTTTAGTGCAGGACCCCCATTCTGAAGAGCTCTAATTGATGGTAAATGTGGAGCAGTTGGAGTGACTCAATTCCCTAAAAATTGCAGGCAGGCCAACCCAGCTGGAACGGGATTCTTTAGAGCCACCCTCTGACCCCTTTCCTCGCCCTAACCCTTCTCCATGAACACATCAAAGCCAATCAGCTGCTTTATTTGGCCCACAGCCTGTGAGCTGCCACGGCCGGGTTGCAAAGGTCACTGTTAGACGGGCATTAGGCGTAGATTGTTTACATTGTATGAACCCTAGAGTAGCATGCCAAGAAAATCATTGGTGCCATGCATGTGCTCTTCATTGTAGCACTTTTGGTCTCTGGTGAACGTTTGGAGAATTGTAGCATCTGTGGATCTTCCTGAATCTGAGTGATAATGTGGAAAAGCTTGGGGAAACATGTCATGAGTAATGCACAAGCTAAATACTTCACCTTGCCTCCTGAGAGGAGCTCCACACAGCTGGGGCTTAAGATGAACTTTTGGGAAGAAGATGTTTTTTGGACTCTTCTTCTAAATGGATTTAGATGTATTGTTTTGTTACAAACACTGGATTGACTGCTTGATTCGTGTTAAACGACCTGGATTTGCCTGAATGATGCACCTGTTTTGAATGTTTATATTAATATGTTAATTTTCACTCTGCACATCTTCTGTTGTAATGATGAGATTTGTTTTTGTTCTCAGTAATGAAAGAGATGTGGACTTGCTGATGGGTGAACAGGCGGGGAACTTCTGCAGAAACCCAGACAAGGACAAACATGGCCCGTGGTGTTATACCAACAGCTCATCCATCCCCTGGGATTACTGCTCTTTCAAACCCTGTGAGTGAGCAGCATGTTGTCTGTGCTAACATTACAACCTGATTGAGACCTTTGGGTTCACTAAAAATGCTGCTTGAAACATGAAGAGTCTAACACAAGCTGAGGAATATGGGGCTAATGTAAACCACTGAACCCAAAAAGTGAAATGCTAAAAAAATATTGCCTAAAATAGAATCAAATTCTGTATTTTATTCATTTAGAATGAACTATGTCACCATACAATAACCAGAGGTGCATAGTTAGATCAGAACATAAAAGTATAAAAAAGAAACCATTAAAAGTGTAAAAGGCTACATTTTGAAAATCAAATTTATTTTGCTGCAAAGTTGCAAGTTATCGTAATGTAAGTTATTTGTTTAAAATGGTTACTTTTATTAAATTAGTTGAACCAGTTTGTGTCTGAAATGCAGCTAAACAATTAGTTTAGAACCATTGTGAATTAAAATCACCAATGTCTCAATCAGTCAGACAATGAATGCACTGATTTGATTGTGGTAAAAATAAAAAGTCTCTTATGAGAAAGAAAAGTATTTTATTTGCTTTATTTGATTCAAATTAACAGTTTTTTTTTAAATAAAATGGTAAAATATAATTTATTCCTGTGATGGCAAAGCTGAATTTTCTGTAGCCATTACTTAAGTCTTCAGTATCTTTAGAAATCATTCTAATATGCTGATTTGATGCTCAAGAAACATTTCTTATCATTATTAATGTTGAAAACTATGAAAGCCTGTTTCCGCTACAAAAAGAAAAAGGTAATTGCGACTTTTTGTCTCACAATTCTGACTTTTTTTCTTGCAATTGCGAGTTTACATCTTGCAATTCTGACTTTTTTTCTCAGAATTGCATGATATAAACTCGCAATTCTAACTTTTATTCTCAAAATTGCGTGATATAATCTCACAATTGTGAGTTATAAAGTCAGAATAGCAAGATGTAAAGTCAGAATTGTGGGATATAAACTCGCAATTGCGAGAAATACAGTCAGAAATGACTTCTTTTCTCAGAATTTTGAGATATAAACTCGCAATTGCGAGTTATAAAGTCCAGTTCTGAGGAGAAAAAAGACTGATATGTTTTTAGAATTGCGAATTGATATCATGCAGTTGTGAGGAAAAAAACTCAGAATTGGCAGTTATATCTCTCAATTTTGACTTAACTCGCAATAGCAAGTTTATATCACGCAATTCTGAGAAAAAAGTCAGAATTGCGAGATGTAAACTTTTTATTCAGTGGCAGAAACAGGCTTCCATAGAAAACAGATGTGTTGCTTAATATTTTCAGAATTCTTTGATGAATAGACATTTTTAAAACATTTCTTTATTTAAAATACAAATCTTTTCTTCAACATTATAAATGTCTTTACTGCCACTTTTGATCACTTTAATATGTTCTTGCTGATAAATGTATTAGTTTCTTTAAAAAAAAAAAACCTTGGACCCCAACCTTTTAAACAGTTAAGAACTCGGTCACTCAATTGTTCGTAGCATTTAACAGCTCTCACACACTTGTGTTGGAAGTTTTATACTTAAGTACAAGTAATGTCACTAACTTTCATTTGAGCCCATCTATCCTTACTTATATTAAAGCATGACTGTTGATTTCTTTATACATTACAGACAATAACCATATTTTTGACCATTGTGTACCCACATATGCTTTTTTGTTGACTTGCACTCTCATCATTGACACCGCAGACTTGTGTTGAGCATGTAGGCCATGTGTTACGAATCTACATACGGCACATCAATCACTCACACACACATGTGCACACTTTCCACAGAGGTTTCAGTTTAATTAAAGAGTGTAAAGTCCAGGTGGCTCAGACTGTCAGCACTCCCTCTGTCTCTGTCACACATAAGTTAAGCTTCAGTGCTGCTCAGGTCTAACTGGTCCCACATGCTGGACCAAGACTAGTCCTATGCTAAAGACCTCACACACTTTAACTCAAATTATACTCTAAACAGCCATCACTGGTGACCACATCTTTTTTTCATTTCTCATGCCTATTCATTGCTTAGAACAAAAATAATCTTTCTTTCCTTTTCCTTCCTTTTTAGGTGAGCCCTCACATAACAGTCTACCACAAAAAGGTAATCATGTCTTTCAAGTGTTGTTAAGATGTGCAGATTTCCATCTGATATTCTTTTGCTTCAGATTACATTAGAAAGATTATTTCAAAAACACATTGTGAATTTGTGTGTTTTTCTGTGTTCTGATAAACTTCTATGTCACCTCTCATTTAGTCTTTTCTCTTCTCTTTACAGATGAGGGTACAAAGATCTCATGTTTTGTTCACAAGCAGGTGAGAATCGTCGGTGGTTGGCCTGTCCGGATTAAAGAAGGCAGCTGGATGGTCAGCATACAGAGAGGGTAAGCAATTGGCAAAATATGTAGATAACATTGTTAAATAATATCATTAACAAACATTATTTGTGGTGCACTAGAATTGGTAACTCTAAGACTTACCCATATGTATTTATTGAAAGGTGAAGAATTACCAGTATGTAATTTTAGTAAGACTTCATTGACTATAAAGCATATTTATTTGGAATTTCCTGCTTTAATTATTTTATTCCACAGTTTTAGTCAGAAATGTCATTAATGGACAGTTTTTAAAATGACTTTTTATTATTATTTTATTATTTTTTATTAGTGATTATTTATTTATTAAACATTTTAGATTTGTAAGTAAATATATCAAGCAAAAAGGGCTTATATAATTGTATATAATTAATTTATACATTAATTTATATAATAATTAATTTTTTAATTGTTTAAAGAAAAATATTTTCTATAATGTATAATTATATATTATAATATAAGTTTTACTGTTATCATGATTATTTTAAAATCTACTCTTGAGACTTCCATGTAAATAGCATTTTCTATTGATGTGGCTTTAATAAAAAAAAAAAAAAAAAAAAAAATATATATATATATATATATATATATACAGTGCCCTTCATAAGTATTGGAACAGTAAAGACAAAATTGCTTTGTTTGCTGTGGAGTCGAGACATTTGCAAATATGATTAAAAGATGAATATGAGACAAAACTACAGAATGTCACATTTTATTATTAGCTGCTTCAACACATTCATGTTTTACCAAATTAAAAGGACAGCACTTTTAGAGTTCATCCCACTATTTTAATGTGAGCATAAGGATTGGGACAGATGAACTTAAAGCAGATGTACAGTAAAAGATTAAAAGCTACTATTTTGTTGTAGATCCCTTGCGTGCAATCAGAGCAGTGAGTCTGCGACCAATGGACGTAACCAGACTCTTGGTCTCATCCTTTGAAATGCTTTTCCCAGCCTTTAATGCAGCCAATTCCAACTGTTGCTTGTTTTGGGGAGTTTCTGCCTTTAGTCTCCTCTTCAGCCGGTGAAATTCATGTTCAATCGGATTTAAATCTGGAGATTGATTTGGGCAACTTAAGACTTTACTTTTTTTGCCCTGATAAACTCCTTGACTGAACTGGCAGGGTGTTTTGGGTCATTGTCCTGAATACAAAGTGAAGCGCTTTCTGATGAGTCTGGTGGCATTTTCTTGAATATTGGTAGCCAAGATGGTTTTGTACCCTTCCAAATTCATTCTGCTGCTGTCATCATACATTAAGTCATCATTAAAATTGAGAGAGCCTGTTCCAGAGACAGCCATGCATGGCCATGACACCACCTCCACCATGCTTTACAGATGAGGTTGTATCCTGGGGATCATTTGCAGTTCCCTTTTTCTCCACACTTTAGCTTTCCCATCACTTAGAGAAAGGTTAAACTTTGTCTCATCTGTCCATAAAACTCTGTTCCAAAACTCATTTTTTTTGCAAACTCTAATCTTGCTTTTCTATTTTTGGTGCTGGTCAGAGGTTAGCATCTTGCTGTGTAGCATCTGTGATTCTGTGTCAAAGTCTCCTGCGGAGATTAGATTGTCAGAGCATCACCCAGCTTTCTGGAGGTTGTTGGTGATTTTACAGACATGTATTTTAGGGTTAATTTTCACAGCTTTTATGATTTGTCTGCCATCGACTGCTGTTGTTTTTCTCAGGCGATCAGGTCATTGTTGGCTGCTGATGTCTCCGGCGGTCTCCAAAATTTGTCCATGCCCTTTTTTTTTGCTATAGCTCTAATTGACTTCCTCTTTCCTTTTAGCATCCAAATTGCTTGCTTTTCTCTCAGAGTCAGCTCCCTCGTCTTCATCCTGGTTTGTGTGTGTCGTCATCGAATTCAAGACTCAGAATGCAGAAGCAATGGATATAACTGATACGACACATTCCCTGCTTTTAATATCTGAAGAATTAATGCAACAGGACACATCTGATCAGTCAGAAAGACCTGTGAGGCAACTGTTGCAATACTTATGCTCACATCAGATAGTGGGATGAACTCTAAAAGTGCTGATCTTTTTAGCTGGTAAAACATTTATGTGTTGAAACACCCAATAATAAAATGTGACATTCTGTAGTTTTGTCTAATATTAATCTTTTAATCATATTTACAGATTTCTTGACTCCACAGCAAAAAGAGCAATTTTGTCTTTACTGTTCCAGTAAGAGTTAAGTTACAGTAATTTTACAGGGTGTTTGCGTTTCCCAAATCTTTGTATCCACTTTCTTTATATCAAGCAAGAAGTATACACATTTTCTGTTTTCCTAAAAAGCAAATCGCAGGCAGATTGACTGTAAAATTCCCTCCAAATAAAGTGCAGTTGTCCATGAAGTCAGTGTTCAGACAGCTCCTCAGAAGTAAAGCCCTGCGCTGTCATGTTTTATAATGTGAGAGAGTCATGTTGGAGATGCATCACTGTCTCATGTCTCTCGGTCTCTTCAGGAGCACTCACTGGTGCGGAGGTTCTCTGGTCAGGGAGGAGTGGGTGCTGACAGACAGACAGTGCTTCTCGTCATGGTAATTATCTCCAGCCTTGCTGCACAGTCACCATCGTGCCCTGGCCGTGACCTCTGGATTCTCAGGGTCACAGGGTCAGTGATCAGTGGGCTTCCATGATTTGTCTTGAGCATGTAACCCAACAAATCAAAGCTGCAGATGTTTTAGAACATGCATCTTATAGCATGAGACATCCATATATCTACATATCCACAAAAAGAATATAGAGGTCATATCACGGGGAATCAAATTTAGCTTGAACTTTTGAGATAAGAAGATTCATTTTACTACAAAATCATACTGTAACATCCTTCCTAGTCTATTTGTTCCTATTTGTAAAATCAAAGCTGCAAAAACCATTTATTCTGAAATGTTTAATTGCAAAGAGGCTGCAAATTTTATTTTGTACTTTTTTATTTTATAAAAATTTTTATTTTATTTTAAAATTTTATTTTAAACATGCAGTTTTCTAGTATATCTGATGCACCTCATTATAAAAAGAATTACTGGAAGAAGAACTGTTGGCATGAAAGACATAGAAAATGTCCCATTTAATGTTAAGGATCAGAGAAAATGGTCATACAAAACTAAATTACTGGCACACACACACACAAATTAATTTCTGAATAATTTATGCCCAAAACTTGAAATCATACTTTTATGATATGCTTTTCCCCCCTAGTGTGCCTGACCTATCAGAGTACAGAGTTTGGCTTGGTATATCCCATTTGAACGAGTCGGGTGAGAATGACTTCCACAGACAGGAGAGAAGAATCTCTCAAGTCATCTGTGGCCCGGAAGGCTCTAGTCTCGCTCTGCTCCGACTGACTCAGTAAGAACTGACGATTAATCAATATGTATATTATTAATATATTCCATCTCTGATCTTATTCCTTTGTTGTTGATGAAATGACCTCTCTGTTCCTCTTTCACACAGACCTGCACTCCCAAGAGAGCGTGTCAGAATTATTCAGCTGCCCGTGGCGGACTGCAGCATTCAGGAGGACACCATATGCTCTGTGTATGGCTGGGGTGAGACCAAAGGTGGGTTGAACTTAAGAGCCAGTCTTCAGAGACTCCCCACCACCTGACAGCTTTATAGGCACACAACATTGCTGTCTTGCTTCCAGCCTAACACAACAACCACCCAGTGTCTTCAATTGACCATAAAGTTTGGTTCTTATAATTAGCATGAATCCATTACCCAAACTTGTGTGTACACCAAGGAACAGCACTAGAATACATTGTAAAAATGGAAGCAGGGTTGGAAATTAACCAGGGCTTGGGGGAAAAAAGTCACAAAAATGCTCCAAATATTTAAAATGTGAGAGCAAAAAAAAAGTTATAGTTTTGTTGTGAGGCAACATTAACAAACAGCTTCCAAAATAATTCATGTTGATGATGAAATTATTTTGGAACTTTTTGCGGTTTGGAACTACATAGCGTAACAGTGTGACAGCAGGAGGGAAAGCACACAAATCTGAGTTCATATTCAAGTAGATGTGCCAAATATAGTCTCTAATAGAGTGTTTTCTGGCTTTCTCAGGCACTGGACACGAGGGAACATTGAAAAGAGTTAATCTGCCAATAGTGAGCAATGAACGATGCCAGCAGCTTCACAAAGGGACAATTCCGATCACTAGTTCAAAACTGTGTGCTGGTGGCAGGAGAGATGAAGGAGTATGCGAGGTGAGTTTATTCACTAGATTTACTCTCTGCAGGATGTGCTACCATTCAAAAGTTTGGGGTCAGTAAGTGTTTTATTTTTATTCATTTGGTCAGAAATGAATGATTTTAATGCAATAATGCATTACATTGCCAGTAGAGACTTCTGCATTGTTTTAAATATATCTATTCAAAATAAAAGTGATTATTTTGCATGTTCTATTAATCAAAGAATCCTACACAAAAAGTATATTGGTTTTATGCAAAAAAAATAAAAAAGGCAACAAAACTGTTATAAACAAATAAATGCAGCTTTGGTGAGACTTCTTGAAAATACTTTTAAAAAATCTTCCGACCTCAAAACTTTTGAATGGTTGAATGGCTACTTATTTAAATCGCTGACATATTGAGACAAATGCAATCTTGTTTTCTAACTGAAACACATTAAAATGGTTTTGGTTGCACTTTTACCTTTGTTATACCTTTTACCTTTTGTTTTTTGTATTTTTCATGCTCACAGAAAGACTATGGCGGCCCTCTGGTATGCCAAGAGAGTAACAGTAAAGTCATTGTCGGCGTGAGCATAAACGGCAGAGGATGTGCTCGACACAACCGACCGGCCATTTTCGTGAACGTGGCCTTCTATACTGGATGGATTCATAAAGTATTCAGAAATTATCCAAACTCAGAACTAAACAACTGATGGAGAATAAGCAGGCTTGAACATACGATTTGAGAACAAAAATTCAGAATCTCCATAAATCCGACAGGTTATTTCTTGATTTAAGGGTCACCTGAACAGCTCTTTTTGAAAAAGTTATTGGGAACTTTCCCAGCTTGGCCGAAAAACATATATTCAGAAACTACTCGAAGAGCTAGAACTACGACTGAAACTATTGCTCTGAATTCAAGCAATTTGTTCACCTAATAATGCCAGAACCGCAGAGCAAGGCGCCGAGAGACAAAGTCTCTAAAGGCTAAATTTGCAACTAGCCATACGGAAAGATAAAGACTACTGGACCGTGCGGACGAGCAGCCAGAATCTGTTTCAAGAATCAATAGCAATTCCTGGCCACCAACCAAAAACCTCAAGTCCTCGGAAGAGAAATCTTGCTGCAGTGCGCTACAAAGCATTCGTATGTACATTCAACCCACACATTACCCATCAAACTAACAATCTGGACTTCAGTTGGGATATTGAATTCAGAGACCTAACCCAAGTTTGAGTCTGGATTCAGACCAGGACTTGATATATGGATACAAACTCTCAGATCCCAAAAGGAATCTGCCGTTCCCTCCTTTAGAAGCGTTCAAAGCTGACCGACGTACACATTTCGGCCGCTCCTCATCGAGAAAGAGGGCTGTTATGATTACAAGTGCTTGTTGATATAAAACGCTAATTAACAGTGTCATTCAAAAAGCCCCTCGATAAAGTATTAGCTGTTAGCTGTTAGCTAAATGTAGAACATCTTATGGGTAAAAGTATACACAGAAGGCTTTTTTTGCATTTGTGCTCCTGATAATACTTGAAAACACACATGAGAGAGGTCACTGTGTCCCTCAATAACACCTCGTGTCGCCATTACAGATTGTCGTTTGGTCAGCGTAGGTGTTTATATAGTCAGAGGTGTTCCATCCATTTCCAGTGTTGATATTTTGTCCGCAAGCCTGAATGGAGATGACATGACCTGCTTGTAGTGACATGCAGCAAAAAATCGTAGTTGTCATAACATATCAGCATCTGAGGTTCCCATACACTCTGTTTGGTTTAGAGCGGAATTCATAGGAGGATTTGGAAATGTGTGTTGTAAATACTGTGGTCATGGGAGTGGGGTAATCACTCCCAGTTCTTTCGTAGGTCTCATAGACCTTTATAAGAGGTTGGCCTCCTCCATTCCAGTGTCTTCATTGGGTGGTTTTATATATTTGTAAATATATCTGTATTAATTCCAAATGCACAGTTTGTCAGTTGTGAAACTCAAGAACGAGTGTGATATTTTATGTTTGTGCGCATGTGTGTAATGCTGCAAAGATGCATTGAGGCCAAAACGTGCATCTCTGCAGGACAGAGAGCAAAGCAAGCACACATCTTGTGTTCTTGTAGACATCGGAATAAAGGGGAAATTTACCGATTAATTTTGCTGTTTTTCAGATCAGAGCCGGTGTAAGATAAATCCGAGTGATTTTCTTTCTTGTGTGGTCTTGGATCGCTCATTCCACGAGCGGCTCGTTCCCTCGCGCTGGCCTGCCTCCAAAAACAATCAGCTTGGGAAATTACCTCCAAAAATCATGTCGGCTTAAACAAATAGCTCTCTGAGTGATGGCTCGTAAGTGTTTGTATTCCAACCACTCCCGATGCTAATTATGTTGGTTAAAATGAAGGATGAGTTTAATTTGTAAGAGTCCTGAGGCACAAGTCCTTATGTAAGGACGTTGTTGAACACATTGAGATTAGTGTTACTAAAGAACAAGACAAGGCAAAAGAGCCATTTGGTGTTACCTCATTTGGCTTTAACATTTATCAAAACAAATGTTTTCGTGTATTAGAGTTTTTTTTTTTTTGCTTTGGAACAATACGAAACCTGTGTTTGAGGAAACCTAGAAGCTGCTGGATGATGAAGCGGCTTGTTCTGAACTTTTTGGTAAGACTCATTGAGGGCCGAATTCACTCGCAGTATTTTGGTGTGAAAACCTACGTCGCATTCCCTAACCATAATCCAGTTTAACCAGGCGATAAAGTCATTGTCATTATTTTCAGTGCAAACATACTTCCTTTATGGATATGCAAATTAGGCTAATTATGGAGTGTGTATTATTCACAAAACCCACCAATATTTGCCTGCTGCAATTAACGTCCCGGTACTGCAGTTAAATGAAATTTCATTTTCAAGAGCTGTTTGTGTACATTTTCTTTTGAACATGGCAGTACAGATTTAGTTTACACTGCCTTTTTGAATCAGGTGCTAAAACTTGTGAAGAAAAATATGCTTTGTTAAATCATAATTATGACATTAAATGTCATATTTATGAGATAAAAAAAATTATGACAAAAAAAAACATCATGATTGTGAGATCAAAAGCCATAATTGTAATTCAAATTATATAATTGTAGTTCAAATTACATAATGTATAATTATGAGATAAAATAAGTGATTAATAAGTCATTCATGAGATAAAATCATAATTTTAAGATAAAATTCATTGACATAAAAAGTAAAAATTATGACAAGTCATTACTGAAATAATTGACAAAAATATGTAATTATAACATAAAAGTCATAATTATGAGACAGTTGATCATATTTGAGATACTCTAAATTATGACAGGAAATGTCAGTTGTGAAAAAATATTAATTTTATGACAGTCAAAAATTTGAAAGGCATAATTATGAGATAAATCATGACGGAGAAAGTCATAATTATGAGATAGTTGATCATATTTGAGTCATATTTGAGATACTCTAAATCATAACAGGAATTGTCAATTATGAAAAAGGTGAATTTATGATAATCAATTATGACAGTCAAAATTATGACAGGCATAATTATGACATAGGAAGTCAGAATTATGAGATAGTCATAGTCATGACAGAAAAATATATTTGAGATAAATTATGACATAAAAAGTAAATTATGCCCAAGAGTCATATTTCAGATCAAGTTGAAATGGACATAAAAAAAATTATTATAAAGTCATAAATATGATATAAAAAGTCAAAAGTATAAATTTTTTGGGTCAATTTCAGTTAGTTTTTGACTGATGACTTTTATCTCATATTAACTTTTTATGTTATGATGTTGAATTTTATCTCATAATTTTGACTTTTCATCTCGTAAATATTTGTTTTTCCTTTTTATATCATAAGTCCTAAGTATGTATCATAAGTATGATTCAACAAAGCATCTTATACTTGTACACATCTTATACTTATACATGTGGCAGAAATGGGGCAGAAATACATTAGGCAAATAATAAAAAAAAACCTTGCGCACTTCAACTCTGAATTCTCCCCTTAATGTCTGAAAAGGCCTGTGGCCCCCCAGAGTTCATGTGTGTTTGATCGATTGCTCATCTCTCTGATGTTTGTATGTGAGAAAGACGGCAGGTGAATGTATAGTGAGCTGCTACGGACAATGTAAAGTTGTAAAATGTTGTCTTTGTACAGTGTGTTTAATGTCTCACCTATTCATGTACAGTAATATTCATACTCAATGTATTATTCGCCTCTTATACCGACAACAGTATTTATCAACTTTACCTGTGTTTGTGTTTATTAATATATATATATATATATATATATATATATATATATATGTGTGCCTTTACTTCAGCATATCCGGCAAGTATCTCTCGAATAGCAATAAAAAAGATGAAGAAAGCGAGAAAAGAATAATAATAATAATAATAATAAAGAAAGTTTGCCCACACATCACTGAAAATGGAAGGATCTTGCTGACTTGATAGATGGAAATGTTTGTATCTGTCTCCCAAGTGCTTTAAATATGAGATTTTGTTCATCATTTAGCAGATGCCCTGTCATCAAAACCATTTTATAGTATACTGAATCCACAGATGGTCCAGAACAGCCTGGGGTAAAGCGCACCGAATTGAGATTTGTTTTACCCTTGAGTTTTTGGATCCCCGTTTATATCACACAAATGCAAAGGTTCAAATCCTTTGTCACACAGAAAAGTATTTTAAGAGTCTGTGCTGACCCTCTCCCTTTGTCCATTTACTATCACTTCAGTGTGAAATTCTGCTGCCCTCTTCTGGAGGGTTATCTTCAACAGGATATGTTGACTCTAAAAATGATTTTCTTTAACTCTGCATGATCTGTTTATATTTTCTGTGGTGCTTCATAATGTGTAATTCGTAATCAGAATTATACCTCACTGTGTGACTTGTTAATGAACTAAATGATCCAAGGCCTAAGTACCAGAATATCACAGAGACACTTTTTTGACTTGGACAAGTAGACAACTACCCAGAAAACCACACACACACAACAACAACAACAACAACAAAACTACATAGCAATGCCCTAGTAACCATTTAGAATACTTAAGCAACCATATAGCAATGCCCTGGCAATTGCACCATGGTTGTGAGTTCTGCATGCATTATTCACTTTAAGAAAACGTAAAAAGCGAGTTTATGTTTGACTTTCAAAGTCTCCCCTGCTGAAAAATAACAGCAAAAACCAGCCTAGCAGGTTGGCTGGTTTTAGCTGGTCATCCAGTCTTGTCATAGCTGGTCAGCAGGCTGGTTTTAGAGGGGTTTTGACCACTTGTTTAGTTGGTCAGGCTGGGTGGGAGACTAGCTGGAACAACCAATTAAAACCAGCTTTGCCAGGCTGGGAGACCAGCTACTTCCAGCTTAAACTAGCCAACCAGCTTAGGCTGGTTTTAGCATCCCAAGCAGGGTCATAGACACAAAAACGTACTTTTCCCCCAAAATAAAACGTCTATATTTTTCCAACCAGTAGAGGGCAGTGTTGTTTGACACCCTGTGCTTCTGCTTAATGGGAAAACGTTATTGGTTATCATTTGGACTTACTTATCATTATCATTTGGAGTTTAAGAATTCAAAGACACTTTTTTGTTTTATTTTAGCCTATCTTATACTAAAGCAGAGTGGTGCGTTTCTATAAAGATAAATGCCTCCTTTCACTCGAGCATCCTGGTCTGAAGCCAAAATGTGATTGTTTCAGTACATTAACTGAATCCATTCATATTCCTTTTACTACCCACACAAGTGTGTGCAAACAAACAAATTAGCGATATGATGCATTGTGATAAATTTGGTTTATTGGTTCATTTTAGAACTTCAGACGTTTAGCTTGCAGTCAAAGAAGAATACAGAACCACAATTACAGGGAAGGGGTTATTTTAGGGGTTTATTTTGAGGTGCTGAATGTACCATTTCCTGAGAGTTAATGCCAACAGCACCCGGGGGTCGAATAAAAACACTTTTAAAAGCGCTGACCTGTTTCCTCAGCCTGTTTGCTCATAAAGCTAAGGTGTTAAGCACCGTTTTTATGGAGAGGGACGGGCCGGTTTAGATGGAAAGTGGCTTTTTGGGAAGACACTCTCCTCAGGGAAGCGGCAATAGATTAGAGAGGTGTGCAGTCACCTTGTGTTCAGCAAATCCAGGCCCGTTTTCCTGAGTTAACCTGGGGCTTTACAGGCCTTTGGGGACGGACACTGCAGGGAAAGCGGCAAAGCTAATTAGCAGAACAGCGGCACGGCGGGACAAACCGTCGGAGGGTGTAGTGTCAGTCTGCGACTGCTGGGTGGCGTTGCTGCCACACCAATGATGAGACGGTTCTAACTTATCCGCTAATGTAATAAAGGTATCTGAATGATTAGTTTTGAACAGCTTGGTTCCTCTCTCTCTCTCTCTCTCTCTCTCTCTCTCTCTCTTTGATAAACCCAAGCAATTTATGTTTCCAGCCAGCAAGCAGTGGAAAGGAGTGATGTACTTTGATCTCTCTCTCCTCCATTCAGTGCGAAGGTTGACGCTGTGTTTGTTATGCTGAGGCTCTGTAGTGTGAGTCGTGTTGGCCTTGGCTGGGTTTTAATCAGAGGTCTGAGCTCAGGGACAGCAGCCAGTACCCTGCAGGGGTGGCATTGCTAAAATTGAAGGTGGACAGATGAGTTAAATACAAGCTACACAGCTCAGCTGGATCACACAGGACAAGAGCTCTTCACACAAGGACCAGGAGCTCAGCTCATATAGCAGATCCAGTGGCATCTGGCACCATATTTTTGACATTATTTTTGTGAAATAGAATTACAATTTAAAAGAAGTGTTTTCTATTTGCATATATAAATGCAATTTATTCCTGTGATGGCAAAGCTGAATTATCAGCAGCCATTGCTCCTGTCTTCAATGTCACGTGATCCTTTAAGTGGGAGAACTTGCACAATTGGTGGCTGACTAAATACTTTTTTTCCCCACTGTACATTTATATAAGCTATATTTTAAAAATATAATGAAACCGAAAACAGATTTACTTCCATTATTTGGCATATTTTGAGTGAAACGGGATAATCGTTGAGAAAATGAATGTTGGTTGGGACTTGGTTTAATCCATTGGATGACTGGAGTATGACTGACAGGTGGTTTAATGAAAAGGTTTGAAAAATAATAGAGTATGGGGATGTTTCCAAACCGGAAAATATTCTATTTCAAAATATCATCTTTTGCATTCCACAGAAGTAAGAGCAAGCCATACAGGTTTGAAACAGCATGAGAGTAAGTTAATTTAAACATTAAGTTAATTTTATTCATTGTTTGGGTGAACAATTCCTTTAATAAAGTAAATATGGTCCATTTTGATGTTACATTGACTGTAAATGCATTCTAATTTCTCATTTTAAGCCAAACCAATTAACGTTGTTCACATAATACCACTATGTATCATAATTTTCATTGTAATTAAAGCAATAATCATCATTATCACCGTTGTCACTGACACCATATTGTGCTCTTCTGCCGTATATAATGTCCTTGCAGTCCTAATGGAAAGTAGAGGACGGAGATTCTAGTTCCTGATTGGCTGGCAGCTGGCAGTGAGATGTAGTTCAGATAATGAATCAATCTCGTTGTCCATATTTTCTTTTGTGCTCTCTCTAATCTCCTGACACTCGCTGTAGATAGTGCCATATATTAGCTGATTAGTCCGAGACAATGTGTCATTGTTGTCTCAAGATCGTAAATTGCGGCCCACTGCATGTGTGTGGCCTTGTGATCGTGCAGCAAATCAACTAAACTCATTAGTCCAGCATGGAAGACTCCAAGCAAACTCTGGCATCTTTGATTCCATGAAGAACCTTTAACATCCATGCAAACTTTCCACAAAAGGTGCTGTATAATGAAAAAAAAAAAAGTTTCATTAGGTTTTTAAAATATTCTTCACACTAAATGAAAATAATGGTTCTTTTAAGAGCTG